TGCATATTAAATCTACTTATGTTAGAATAACTTTAACAGAATTATATATTTAAATGCAAACTCAACTGGACATTTTGCAGTGCTCATAGAAGTACTCCACCTTGCTGTCAGTGAGATTTCATCTGATTAAGGCTGAGATTTTCACAGTAGCACCCAGCTCTTTCTGGCTAAATCTACATTAGCAAATATTTCAGTGCAGAAACAGTTTAGTATTTTGCTGACATTGGTGTTGAGGCTCTTACAAAGTCGTTCTCTATTGGTTTAATCATAGTTCTTTAAGATGAGTTCTCTGCTGGCCAAGTTGTGATCAAGAACTCTGAATCCTTCCTCCTAATACTGATTGACAGTCAACTGCAAATTTAAAGATTTGTAGGCCATTTCATCATTCCTACAGCATGAGAAGCCCTTCAGAGCATGGTAGAAAGTCTTGACCATTCTGCATGTCTGCTTGATATATGCTGGAAGATGTCGAGGACTTCATGGTGTTGCAAGTTAGTCACTCATTCAGACTCATGTATCTCCATTAGGTATTGAAGCATATTTTCGGGGTGCCTGAGTGGACTCCTAGTTTATTTTCCATCAAAATGAATCAGATTTGCATGCACCACAATGGCTCTGCAAATTGGACTAATATACAGAAAGTGGGGAATTCCAAGGGATTCACTTCAGAACTACTCCATGTTAATGCATGTGCAACCTATATGGGCTGTTCTAAAATTCATCACTAATTTTCAATTTCTTGCAAATAAGAAGTTCAGATAAGAGTCCTTAAAGAACTATGATTAAACCAAACAACCAAACAACTAAACAAACAAAACAACTTTTCCCTTATGTTTCTCGTGGGAAAATGGTGTAATGTATTTTCTGAAATCATTATTGGCTAAAAACAGGTCTTACTCTTTTTCCATTTGGGTAGCTGTCCATTCAAAGAACAGTGTTAAGGAATTAAAGCAGGGATGGAGCTGTAATTCATACTAATTTTAAGACAGCATTTCATTGCCAGAAAAGTATAAAGCTAATATGTTATAGTAAATGAGAGTCATGCCAAAGCTTTTCTTTGAACTGCGACATTTTGTGTGTCAGTTAGTTACTGGGTTTGACTTGTCAGCCACCACCCACCCAGCTGATTAAAGATAGAAGACACAGTAACACTGCCACAAACCTAATGTACTATCTTTGAACTAAGTTTTATTTTGGGAACCTAATAGGGACATATTGCATATTCTATGACGTGCTGCACATATTTACTTTTGGAGTCTTCTGATTACTGAATATATGGATAAAATATTCACCATCTGATACACCGGAAAAGGAAACAAAAACAAAAACAAACAAACAAGCAAACATCTCAATGAGGAAAATCTTGGTAGCTGTCTCAGTCCTCAGAATTCTTTTTCAGTCAAATCTCTCCTGCATTTCGGTATGCTATGCTACCAGAAATATCAGGTTGTCCAAAGACCATAGTTCAACACCTGCTCATTTCATCAATAAAATCATCCAAATCCTTTAAACAGAAATTACAGATTACTAGACTTCAAGAGCTCTAGTGACTTATAGAAGCCCCAGTAGAACAAAACAAATATATTTTGAAAGTATGGTTATATAATCTGTTTATTATAAAGTGGCAGCGATAAACTAAGTGCACAAAGTATCCATTTGCAAGTAATTTGAACAGATGATCCCTCATTTGAAAACTCAAGAAAAATAAATAATCTTTTCATGGGTATTTTTAACAAGCAAATCCTGCTTGTTAAGTAACTGAGGTGTCAGAAAACAAACAAAAAAATCTACATAATAGGAAACCAAATGTGCTTATAAACTTGAAATACAGTACAGCATTCTGTTAAGTCCTGAAGATTCACCTCTGCGCTGTTCCATTGCATATATGAATAATTACTTGTTCCTTTTAAACCTAGGGCTCTTTAACTACTGCAATTCATTTTTTCAGTGCTGGAGATTCAGTCCCAATTTTGTACCAAGGATTCTGCCAAAGAGGGTAGCCATCAAACAATTTTTTTTTTCTGGGTTCGTATTATCATCATCCTTACATGCTTGGAAGTGTTGCAAATAAGAATGTAGCCTGTTAGTGAGTGTACAGTCCTTTTTATGTCACTCTAGAGTTGACATGAGTTGTCACTGACATGAGTTGCAGCTTGCGATCTAATACTGATCATAGCTCTTAGCTCTGCCAGTCCTTTCATGTGGACCAGAAAGGGAGCTGTTGTATCAGCAATAGAACACATACAAAAATGCAAAGAGTATGGTCTCTTTCATCTGATAGTTGAGTAGCTACTGCTTTTATTGTTTCCCAAATCATTAGTGAGAATAATCCACCACCTAACACACCTACTAAATGTCATTCCTAATTTTATCAATGTTTGTAGTGACAGCTGAAGTATTTCTGCAGTTCACTAGTCAAAACCATGATAAACACTAGCTAGTAATTAGTCTTTATTCAACTATTCGGTAGGGAGAGCACCACCAGAGTCTACTCAGTTCCACTCAACTGTGATCATCTGCAATTTCTTTCCATGGGTTCTCATGGGAGGATAAACAAAAACACTTAAGAACCTTTAGTAAAGTTCAGTTCTTTCCTAACAAAGAAAAATAAAAGCCCTTTAGCGACATTGTAAAATAATTTTGTTGGCCTTTGCTGGAGATAATTCAAGTTCATGGTAACTTCTGAGGTCCTTGAGAAAATAAGGATTGAGAGCATATGGACGTAAAAGAAACAGAACCCCTTTTTCTCTAGAGTTCCTTCATATATACATTTTCTAGACATATTTCTTAGAAGGAAAAGCATACAAATACTTCAATAATCTTTAATGGTCTGCAATAACCTTTAACAGAATATTATTCTTGTATGGTACAGAGTTTATAAACTGCAAATATTGTCAGATATTTAGATAGCAAACCACAGTCAGTCTACAAAGACAAACAAGAAGCTATTGACTTTTTAATGGCTAAATGGAAGCTAGTAGTAAAAATGAGATTTCCAGCAGATGGAAACTTCTCAGATCAGCGGCCCGTTATGAACTAAATAATTACTTTGAAATAAATAAAACAATAAAATGATATATATAATAATAACATAATAGTGCATGGAATTAGGATTTAGGAAAGGCACAAGGACTGGATACCATAGTCAGTAGACTGAAGTCTATTGACCAAAAAAATAGAATATAAGTAATAGCACAGCAACCCATCATACATTTTTTCATGAATGTGTCTAGACCTGTAACAACTGTCCCTGTGGGATAATAATTCAATCTTTTGTGTCTCAGCAGAGACAGCGATGATACTGCTAATTAACATCCATGATGACGGTTCTCTTATGAAAACGTTCATCTATTGGGAAATAGCATTTCTAAGGCAAACCCCCAATCTATTAGCGTGTCTTGCCCTCACCTTTCAAAGATAACACCAGTCCTCTTGCACTGATTAGCACATAAAGCATGCTACTTGAGTTACAGCTCATTTCATCTAATGGATATCTGCTTCTTATATATAGAAACAGATACATATGCTGATATATTCAGCGCCTCCAATTTCCTCCCATTATTTATGTACTATCTGCCTTGGAATTAAAAAAGATAAAGATTTTACTTTATGTGTATGTAGTAAGGTGCATATGTGTAACAGGAACAGAAAACAGAGACATTATTTTATAAATACTTTGCCCATGTATTATATTCTGGCATGTCTCACTAAAGGTAGGAAGAAATTGGAGACTTCTCTTTTGATTTACGAGTAGAATCTTTCTCTTACTGATCATTATTATTTGTTATTTATTTACAGTAGTATTAAGTGCATGCTGCAGTCCATAAGGCCTCATGAAGAGGGGATTGCTTCTGGACAGTTTCAGCAGAAATCTCTAATCCAAGCAATTTAACAACTGGCAGGTAAACAGAAATAGAGCAACAGAGTGGAACATGTGATCAGAGATCAGTGCCCATAATGAAATCTCTACTATCTATTACTACTAATATGAAAACAGAAAGGCAGTAGGAAGTAAAGGATCACAGATAAAATAAATTGAATAAGAAGGATTTATCTCACTACAGCACAGCTTGGATGGGTGTACATAAACTTAGAGCAGGCAAGAACATCTCCATAAGCAGTTACTGGATGATAGAGACAGAGACAGAGAGGAAGGAGGAAGGGAGAGAAAAGGGAAGAGAGTGGTGTGTACACCGTGACAGATTCTACCTTATTTTTCTCCTCAACTCTTGGAAAATTCTGGTATTACTAAAGCATATACATCGAACTTTCTTCACTAAGAGTCAGCTGAAGGTTTGAATACCTACTGTTTTCAGACTGCCAGATTTAGGTCCATGACATACACTTCCAGATTTATTTTTATCTCCATTAAAAAAAAAAAAAATCAAAAGAAAATAATATTAATGTTTACTTTACTTCATTATTTTTATTATACACACACAGGTCTCCATAATAGCTCAGAAGTAAATTTGATAGATAGTTAACAAATAAATGCTAAATTAAAAATGAGGTGTAATATTAAAAATAAAGAACAATATAAGAAGGGGAAATAATAAAGGAAAGACAAATATACTACAGATTAAAAAAAAAAAAAAGACATTATCCACCATAAATTTATCTGCTTCTACATGTGTGAGGTATTGTGGTCTGTTAACAAAGGACTTTGAAAAATCATGCAAATAAATTTCACAGTAATTAGGATTCAGTTGGTCCTTTTCCATATGTTGTCAAAACCAAAAAGTACAGAGTTTTAGTCAGTTCCTAAGTAGGGTGACTGGGAATCAATTGAGTTTTCAAATATTTTAAGTATTCTACACACACATACACATGTAAATTAATACACCCAACTTGTCAACAGTAAAGCTTCAAAGGCTGTTCTTCAGAGCTACACTTACAGTCAAAGTTCTTAAAATGCTGGCTGAAACAAATGAAGTTTCATTGATTTTTAAATAACTTGAGATCTAAAGTTTTCACTTTGTCTCTTCACTAGAGACTATACTTTAAGCAAAGTACAATAGTGATCCTTCATCTTGTCCATACTTCATTGCAGATTCAAAGTCTTTGAAGCTGATGCAACCATCAGAATCCTGATCAACCTCTCTATAAGAGAAATGAGATCTGGTATCTAAAACCTAAAAGACATTATGTAAAACAGACATTATACTTAGCTGTAGATATCCAACACCAATATTGTTTTGAAGAGCTCAAATCCTACCCATTTGAATTCTATAAAAAGAATTAATCAACTAAAAATGCTTTTTGTGTAGTATGTCTCATATGTAGATCTCAAAGCTTTTCAAAAAGAACAAGTATCATAATGTTTATTCAACATTAACCATTAGTGGTAGTATGGCAGTATTCCTACTATACTGCAGTATGCAAAATGGATGCATCTTCTACATAGATTAAATTGAAAATTCCAAAATAATCCATGCTGTTTAGCAGAGGCAAATTTTATTATCCCCTGAATACCCTGGAAATTTCAAAGGGATTCTAGACCCTGTAGAAGTAGTACACTGTCTCAGTTTTAAAGAAAGCCTCACACAAAGGGATGGGATGTTCTCTTCTGTAAGATATCCTTATTCTAAACACACTCTTGAGAGAACTCTATTAAAGGTAGAAGAAAATAATTTATTTACAACACCTTCAAATATGAAAACAGTTCAAAGGGCTACAAGGGCTGATAAAAGAAAACAGAATACTGCTTACATCTGTCTATCCTCACTTCAATTGCAAGAATCTTCTCTATAATATTCAGCTTTCAATATATCAGTAACTATCAAACCACGTGACTGAAGAAAGGTTTCTTCTGAAGAAAATACTGCATCTCTGTCTTCACAAAGGAGGGTCTTGATTTAGAATATGTACTTCTTATTTCCATCTCTCTGAAGAAGTACAGTTTAGATTAAAATATTTTCATTCTCCCTTTCAATACAAATATTAATCTGCACTTTATTCAAGAATCCTCCAGTCCGCTAACTTGCAACTTTTAACACTGGTAAGATTCTTCTCCTTTTTTGGCAATAATTTGTACTATGTTGAACTACACTACACGTGAACTATTAACCTCTCTCATGATATTAAATGTTTTCTGAACTTGGTCAGCTGAACTTCAAACCTCGTGGTGCAAGGATGAACCTCACATGACCATAAACACATGAAACAACACCCTACCATTGAGGAAATATTTAAACAAAATTAATTCCTTCAGCTCATTATTAGCTCTAGATCCAGACCAAAACATGTTCACATTCTACTGCTTTTCAGGTAATGACAAGTTTTGGATGATGATCACTTATGTGTTTTTATGGACAATATGACAGCTGATCATAACTCAATCTAATGAATTTCTTGGTAAAAGGGATCCTTTCAGACATGGTATGTTATAATATAAGCAAATGCAAAGTTATTCACCAGTAGGGGATGAATTCAGGTCATAATTACAAAATGGAGACGCTGTCCTGGAAAGCAGTGACTGAAAAGGGCGGAGGAGTCATAAAAAGTAATCAAATGAAGATTATCTCCTACTGTGATGCTTTACATAAGAGGGTGAATATGATCCTTGAATGTATAAGCAGGATAATATCTAAAACAAATACAAGAGTGATTTTATTTCGGAGTATGGCATTAGGAAAATTATTAGGGAAATACTGTGTCTAATTTCTGGTGTCCAGGCTCCAAAAAGGATAGAGAATTGAGAAAATAACTGCTGTAAAAACAAGCTTTGGAAATGACGCCTTATAATGAGACATTAAAATTGTCTGTTCAAAAAAAGATTAGAGAATGGATTCAGTCAAATCAAGATGACAAGTATATATATCTAGAGAGAATATTTCAGATAGTAAACATCCTTTTAAGCAGCAAGGAAAGGCACAATGGTAGACAAAAGTTGGAAGACAAAGCTAGACAAATTTATAAATTACTTAAAATTTCTTTTTTTAAATAGTGCCAACAAGTTGTTGAGGTAACTTACCTATGGATATGGGACAGTTACTATCACATTAAAATCAACACTACATAACTTGCTATAGCATATGTTCTAGCCAAAAGGAAGAATAGTAGGTTTAGTTATTTCCTTACTGGCTCACTCTGTGGTGGTAATCATACCCATTGATTTGCACTGTATGTAAGTACCTTATCTCATATAAAGTATTATTTAAATATTCTCCATCAGTAACAGAGCAGAAGAGGCATTTTTAGAAAACAATGGATAGAGGTAAATAAAATGAAACTCACCCTGAAATTTTAAGCAAGATTTAAGAACCTGATAATAGGAATAATACCACCATCTTTCTCCCCTGATATAGCCTTATAAAAAAGATACTGTAGATGGTGAATGATGATCCATGCTTGTCTCATCTTGTTTTCACTTATACATCCCTATTTGTATACAGATGCTTTTCGAATAAACAGGAACCACAGAAGAAAAAGAACAGTTTTACCATCCCAGATAATCAGTTCATTTACCCAAATGGCTTGTCTCTGACAGCAGCCATCAAAGTATGGAAAAAAAGGATGAGTGTAGTGATACTTCCTTGGGTTATTCTCCCTTGGTGTATTCTCTACATTCAGGGGTTTCCTAAACAGGACATGCATGTTTGTATGTAATTATTCTTGATGCATGTTTATTGCATGAATTTTTATAACAGTTTTTCAAAGCTGTGTGAAACCCACAGCCTGAGCACCTGCTCAGTGAATAAGTACCTCATCTTATTTGTTTTGAACCTGCTTTGAACCAAAATCATTTGACATTCCCATTCTTTTAAAAGTCAACAACTGAAGCATTTTTTGTAACAAAAAGCCTATTTTAATGACAGTAATTATTACTATAACTTGTGTTATTTGCAAGTAAATTAGTTTATTTAAAGAAAATGTACAGATTCAAATAACTGAGAGAATGCTTAATAATCAAATAGCAAAATCTATTTTTTTCTTAATACTGCAAGGTATTCTCAGAATTTAATTCTGAAAGAACAATTCACAAGCATTTTAGAAGGTAGTGCTGACAATCTGGCTAAACTAAATTTAATAGGAGTTTTGTCATTAATTTTCAGGAGGCAACTATTTCACCCCATATATCTGAGTTATGTGCACAGTCACGTATTTAATGTTTATATCTGTTTATACCTGTTTGGAAGCTTGTCTTGAAAAATGGCCCTCAACTTTATATGGTGTTTGTTCTACATTGCAAAAGCCACCAAATGACTCTGAATTGTGTATCACCATCTGAACAACCTTTAAGTACAGATTAGCAGATATGTTGGCTGATAAATAAATGACTAATAAACTGGTAAGTAGTTAGCTTTTGTAATCTGAAGAAACACTGCATTTATTTAAATGCTACAAATTTCCAAAACCTTGCCAAAGGTAATCTAAAAGCTAGAATGGTCTTGGAGTGTTAAATTTTCATTTTCATCTAGCAGAAGCAAATGATATATTCATTCTTATGATTCTGAAAATACTATGTCACAGTATATTGATCTTTATTTCATAGACCTGTACTCATTTAACATTCTTAGTAAAACATATATAGATGTTTCAAGGTATGCAGTGCCGTGGGTAGACTATGATTTTTCACTGAAAATTGAGTAATAATCAGCATCACAAGTTACTGACTGTGAGGTATAAATTATTCTCTTATACAATTAAGTAGTTGAAGACTCCCCAAATCACCTAAGTGTATTTTCATAGCAAACTAGATTAGATAAATGGCACTTTCCTTCTGACAGGAATATTTTAACCATAAATCTGAGTATAGTAAATGAATAGCTTAAAAGACTAATGTCAGTATAAGTTCCCTCTATAAGTTTTGTGTTTATTAATTCACTGAAGTGAGTACTTATCAGAAAAGTATCCACATGCAAATACAGCTTACCCTTTTATTTTATAAATACATTAAGCAGACACTATTTTTTTCCCACTATCCCCAAAACAATTCGCTTATAATCACAGAGTAGTGAAAGTACAGAAAAGCCAGCAGAGATTGGTGTTGAGTTGGCTTTTACTGGTTAGCTCAGTAGAAGAAGCCCCAAAGTCACGTAAGAGCCAAGATAAATTAAACATTACTCAGATCTCTGATACCATTGCCATACATCATATATATGCAAGTGCAGAGGGTAGCTTAAAACTAGCATAGATTTCTCCACTATGCAAACATAGTTAAAGATTATTAATTATACAGATAAGGATGGATGGTCCTCACTTTGACTTTGAAAAAAATGAAGTTAACCCATAGGGAGGAAGTTTTCATTTACTGTATTTCATGCGGGCAGCGATTTTCATATATAGAGATCAGTGAGGAGAAAACAGCAGCTCTATCATGTAAACCAAATATAGGTAGAGAAATATATGGGAGGTACAACTGAAAATAATAATTAAAAAAAAGTCTCCTTCTCACAACAGTCTACATGAATAAGCGTTTACTTTGGCTACTGTTCAACAAACAAACAAAAAATATAATTCCATTAAAAGTGACAGAAATGGTCACTTGATTTTTCAAATTAGCTAATGGAAGACTTTAAAATGTTACCCCTTTAAATTTGGGTAAAACAGCACTAACAGTTGCCATAACTAAATATGAAAAGACGACTTTCTGTTTACAAATAGATATAAAATTGGACATTTGAGAAATTTTTATTACCTATTTCCAAACACTTTTAGTTTCACCAATTTACTAGGCACTTTATGGTTGAGGTATTATGAGAAACAACAAATTAAAAGGCCTCTACTTCCCAAACACAGTTGCAATTTATCAAACAACTACATGTGGTGACTTAATAGATGGCTTTTTATGCATTGCTATGTAACAACCTTTTTCTCAGAACAGATGAAGTTATAAGATATACCATGTACAGAAGTAACTTATTTCTGTAATAGTTTGTGATCTACTGTAATTTTTTTTGTCCCTATTTTTTCTTCCACATTGAAAGTCCTAGAAATATTAGTTCTAAATTAGAGGCAGAAGCATACAAGGCACACAGGACTGGATACAGTGTCTTCAAATCTCAACCTCTCTGCAGTTTCACCGGTTTTAGGACATTCCAAGAATAGTGGTGGTCTTTAACCATTTATTGTAGCCAAGCCTCATTCCCATCTCAAGT